ATAATACAACACATCCTTTTAACTTGCAACATTTGAGGGTAAATATTTGTTTCTTTCTCCAAAAATATCTTAAACCCAAACTGAAATCGGTCTATAAACCACCAGCAATTAGTATTTGGTAACTAAACTAATACTAGTCACTAATAAAGACTAATATAATATCGAAGTAGATGCCTTTAAAAATGAAACACAAAGAGTAGACCACTCCACTACTCTATCCATAGGCCTTCATCATCCATAGTATTCATATCCATACATCCCTAGTTTGTATTAGGTCCCTAGGTCTATATAGATAGACCCTGTATATCTATATATCTATCTATAATATCTATAATATCTATAATATCTATAATATCTATAATATCTATAATATCTATAATATCTATAATATCTATAATACCTATATCTATATAATATAATACACATGACATAACCTATCATAAGGATCTATATACATACATCTCCTATCTCATTATAATTTAAAACCACCTGCGGAGAGAAAGGAAGAACCCGATGGTCTACCATCCAGAACCAAACCCCAGATTGTAACCCCAGACCCATCCCCCATAACCCCATCCCCCAAACCCCAATTCAAAAGTGCACTGCGCCACAAATTGGAAGAAATTATTTGAAAAACGCCGACTAGTTTCGGCTTTCGGGAAACATTCCATCTGAGGAGCTGGCCCCACAGCCCAGTTATGGACACGTCCGTGACGCGTCGTCGGCCATCCCGTACTGGTCGTCGGCTGGGGTGTTGACTGTCCACTCGTGCAAATTATTGTGAAATATTCAAGAGTGGGAAACGAGAGAAGCCATTGTGTACTTTGCCGAAAAATGAAGTCATCTGGAGGGGGGAGCAGCGAGGGGGTATTGGCCGAGAAAGTGCCAGGGGGAAGAGGGAGAGTGTGGGCTGGGTGAGGAGGAGGAACCCTGTATGTGTGCTGCATGGAACCCTTAATTAAATAAATTCAATATGCGCAACGGGCAGCCAAAAGCCACCCAAAAGGAGTCCCACATTTGGACCTCCACCCACCTCCTCCTCCTCATTCTCATCGTCCTTCGAGGCTGGGGAGTCCTCGGCCAACTACTGGCCCGAATTATATGGCGAGAATGCTCGTTGGAAATCGTCATGGATTTTAATATTTAAAAGCGTTTTCAAAAATGTGTCCCCGCCAGAAGGGTAAAGTTGGTCGAGGGAGCAAGGGAGACAGCCAGACTGGACCTGGACTGGACCTGGACTGGACCTGGACCTGGTCCTGGACCTCCCAGTTCAGAGGGCAAACGCATCGACTCCAGCCTCTCCCCTTTCTGGTTGTGTCCCAAAAGTCGACCCAGACCCAAAGAGCCCCAACCCGGTTCGACAGGCAGCGGCAACATTTTGATAAGTCCTGAAACTGGAAAAGGGGGGGTGAGGTAGGGAGGGGGGAGGAAATAAAAAAGTAACTGCCTCAACAGGACACAGGACATGGGGAGTAGGTTCGTCCGTTGGTTGCCAAAAAGGATATTATTTAATGAGCTACACTTTGAGAATTGGACATGGTCGAAGATAAAGGGTGATGGGGGGGGGCGAATGGCAAGTCCTGGAAGGTCCTTTTTGGAGGCTGGACCTGGGATTCTCTCAGTGCTCTTGTGTGGCCTGTATAGTTGGCACTTCTACTGCATAGTTTTCGGCCGCTTGGCTTGCATATTGAAGCTCCCCCACCCCCCAACCAGCCCATGACCTGGCCCCACCGTGATTGTCCTGCCAGGAGCTTTGGGGTCAAGCGTGTCCGTGATTAAAAATTCAATACCGAAACGAATGCAGAATTGAACGGTAAATTAAGGGGAGCCCACCCATGAGGTGTGGGGTGTTAGGGGTGTGGGGGTGTCCGAGTATGTGTTCTGGACTCAATCGCCAGGAAGGGCTGCTTAATTAACGAAAGGGAACTTATCCTCGGAGGTAGCTCGAAGATTTTTTTTGGAAGAGAGCTTAAGCCTTAGAGGCCTCGAGAGTCTTGAGCGAGAGAGAAGGGTTGAGCAAGAGGGTTGAGGGGAGGAGGGAGTAGAGCTCTTATCGTAATGCCCACCTTGGCGGCTGACGGGGTCTGTTTACATAAATTCCATAAAATTATTGCCATAATCAACATTATGCATTTGAAACAGAGAACCAGAACGGAGAACCAGAAACCGCAAAAGAGTTTTCCAACCCAGGGGTGGCATATACTGATATATCCTATATACATACATATATATATATATTCATATATATGAGGCTATGTAATTATGCTCGCTTGATTTGCCAGCAACATTTTCTTTTTTAATTATTTATGTTTGGGGATTTTTAGGCAGTCAAAGGCACTTTTCCTTCGAGCCAGGGAAAGTCGAGTCTTCTCGAGTCCTCGAGAGTGTGTGTGTGTGTTAGGGATGGTATTTAATGAATGACTGCATGACTGACTGACTGGCAGACTGGCAGACTAACTGACTGACAATATCTTTTTATGATTTCGTGTAGAAGCCAACCCTGCTGCTGCTCGATTTGGGCATCATTTTTTGGGCATGTGTTTTATTAGGCATGTTAATTAAAAGACATGAAATGAAAATAATTAAAAATATTTACAGAACCGTGTATGTGCTCTGCGATATCTGCATATGTGCGATATATACACACACACACACACCCAGGGCTATATAATATGCAGATTTTATAGAGCAAGTTTTTCTATTTACGGCCCTTGGAGAGATAATGCTTTTGCCATGAACAGGTTTCATGGTTTCAAGCCAAGGGGGTTGAGCTTGGGTTGTGTAGGTAGGTAGGCCTTCTTGGAAACCAAAAAAAAAATCTATTGATTTTTTTTTACCTTGGAACCCTTTGGTCTCCTTGTTCTTCTTCCCACATGTGAGTCCTGGGTGGTGGTCCTCCTGATTAACTCGCTGCGGTGTCAATTTACGATGAAAAGCACAAACAATGGATGATATTGGACGAGCCAGCACCCCATCCACCCACCAGATCCTTTTGTCCTGCTGGAGCTGCTAATAACGCCTACAGGGCAGGCAGCTAGGCGGGGGGAGGTCACAGGGGTGTCGGGCCATGGAAGGGGGCGCCATGCTCGAGCGACACTTTTAAGAAAATGCAAAGTTTTCGTAACAAAAGCCAACCATTTGGGGGGGTGTTGGGGGGTGGGGGCCCAACTTGAACAATACTTTGATGCGATTTTGCGGATATTAGGTGTTAATTTTTCAAAGAGCCAACGACATTGTACGCCACTGCCACCCACCTTACCCACCCACTTGGCGCCCAACCCACCCCCACCACGACCTTGTTTCAAGGGGCACCCCTTTGCTTTCATGGCATTGCCATGGCACTCTGCCTTTTGTAATTTTAACTACTTTCGGTTAACACTTTTACGCATTGCCAACTGTGGTGGCCCCCTCCAGCCACTCCTCCCACTCTTTCTTTCAAGGCCACTCCCCCCCCACCCCCTACTGGCACCCCTTTGTCTTGGCAAGTCATCGATGGGAAAACTTTCGGCAACTTTTTCTTGGCTTGTGTTTTTTTTGTGTATTTTAATTGCCCCCAAAGGGGGGATTTGAACGGCAATGGCCATGAGAGGGGGTGGGGTGGGGGGCTTGGAACAAGCGCTGAAATACTGTTCTGTCAACAGGCCGGGGGGGTGGGAGAGGGGGAGGTGGAGGCTCATTTATTGAGCATTTTAGCCTTTCATCGATGCTTTCAACCAAAATTATTTTGCTCATTTTAATTATTATAACAGCCAGGGGGTGTAGTGGGGGGGGGGAGACCATTTGCAAGTGCCGCAAAACACAAATTTTAACGGTTATGCCACGGCGCAAAAAAGGGGTGGACCTTCTCATTGGGCTGCATCCTTGGGATACGAAACTATTTGCGGTAATTCCCAACAAGATGGCTCTCCGCAGGAATTTCAAAGGGGGGTGGCCTTGCCTTGACTGTCAGACGACTGTTGTGGGTGGCCATTAGACAAGGCCTGGACCTGGACCTGGACCTGGACCTGGACCCGAAACAGCTGCCCCAGCACCGTATCCTGGATCGAGAAGATCCCCGGGACCCAAAGCCATGTGCGTGTGCTTCTACATTCTCATCGCCCTGCTCATCCTGCTCGTCATTGTCGTGGGCACCATCCACCTGACCCGGAAGTGAGCCAGATCTCGAGGAGCAATGCCGAGTTCAAGTTCGACCAGTGGGCGGATGAACCATGCCGCCATTAGTCTCTCAACGGGCTTTGTTCTATATCCTGTATATCCTGTTTATCCTGTATATCCTGTATCCCCGTTTTGGTATTAGATTGCCAGCCAAGTAGCAGGTTTTCGGTGTTTTATTACACATTTTAGTAAACATTTGCATACCCGCGCGGACCTTCCCTCTTCCCCTGCACGCTGGCTACTATAATTAACTGAATATTTATTACTGCGGTAGATAAAATGTTATGCGGCTATTATTTTAGTTTTACGGCCAGGAGTCGGGAACAACGCGGTGAGCTTAACTCTCAGACATGGTACATGGAGCAACATGACTATGCAATCCGAGCCAAAGTGCACTCTCTTCCTCCACTCGACCGAGTCCACCTGCCACCTCCCAAAAATCCTAAAAAGTTGTAAGCCATTGAACAGAGGCAACAATTAGGGGCACGAGGCATGTGAAGGTTCTTGGAGGGTTCTTGGTGAAATTCCAGACATGCCTGCTGAAAAGTTTTCCGCCTCCACACACCAGCCTCCACTTATCGGACCAGTTGCTTCACTTAGTTGGGTTATGGGAGCTTCACTAATACGCCAATCTGGCGGCATTCAGAAATTGATCTGGAAATGATTTAATACCCCGGCCGGAACACGGAACACGGTACCCCCTATTTTCCAATTCACACCCATGACTAAAAACTCAATTCGCGATTAATTGCCCGATTCTATAATGTCAACGCGACACGCTCCGCTGGAGGCCTGATTGGTGGCTCGGTATATAAGCCCCAGCTGCCGGACCAGACCGACACTCATTCTTCTGACCACACGGACCTGGCCAAGATGCAACTGAAGCTTCATTTTCTCGTCGGACTGCTCGTCCTCCTCTGCAGCGCCCTGGTGGTGGGTATTCCAAACTTGTATAAAGCTTCCAGGCCTCCCAACTAACAGAAAGTGGCTTCCTCCCTCCTAGGGTGCCTTCCCGCAGGGACCATGCGGCCCACCGCCCAGCGGCACACCGCCTTCGGGACCCCCGCCATCGGGTCGTCCGCCGGGCGGCCCTTGTGGCCCTCCACCCTCGACCACCGCCAAGTCCACGGGTTAGGACAGTCGCCCTGGATACGAACCCCCTCCTCCCGTCCCAGACTCTGGAAATCCTTTCGGCTAAGCTCATCCTTTTTTTTTTTACGTGTCTCTCTAGAAAATAAAGATATGTGTGTATAACTGCAAGAGGGCCTTTAAATCGTCACCGTGGACACTGTGCTGATCTTGTAGCGGGAGAAGCGCGTCTCGTTCTCCAGGTACACGTCCTCCCGGCACTCGCGGAGGTAGGCATGGGCCACAATCCAGATGTACACGCAGAACACTGCAAGAAAGGACAGTGAGAGAGATGAGGTTCCCAATAGTCAGCTGATACCCACCAAAGCCAAGTACGATGAGGGTCATGTCCACCCAGAAGATGGGCAGGATCAGGAACTTGGTCAGCAGGTGGACCGGTTGCATGACAAAGTGCAGGGCAGTCGTGCCGAGGAAGACCTTCACCAGGAAGCCCTGGCCCTGTAAAGAAAGGATGTTGACAAGGAGGTCTCCCACTCTCAGACTCACCACAAAGGAGGCGACAAACAGGGCGAAGCAGCCGGTGATATGCAGAATGTTGCAGATCCTGATCATCACAAAGAGGATACCCTCGAGGGTCTGGCAGCAGGGCATGTCGTAGGGCAGGGGACGCTCCAGCAGGTCGACCGCGAACAGGACCAGGGAGCTGATCAGACAGCCCAGCCATAGGGGGATGCAGTGGCAGCACCTTTCCATTGCAGTACAGTGGGCTCTATTGGGGATTTCGAAGGCGAGACAGGTCTGGCAAGGCACATTTCTCAAAATCTGAATCTGGTGGGGGGGGGGCAGGAAAATGGCTCCTCAGAGGCCCAGTATTCCCCAGCTCTTGGCAGCTCATCTATTTTGCATATTTTTTTTTTTTTTTTTTGAAGTTTCCTAGTTGGCAGTGGTACTCTGAACTCTCTGAAATATTACCACCTAAGCACCCACCAGTCGATTTTAAAAAAGATAAACTTTTATTAGTTTTGCGGTGGGTGGTGGGGTGGTGGGTGGTGGGGGGTGGAACAAGGGGGATGTTGTACCAGTGGCAGTGGCAAGAATATAATAAAAGTAATAAAAGAAAACATGCAACAAACAACCTCGCCGAGATGCAGATGAAGTTGAAATGTAAATTTTCATCCGAATGGAAAGTTTCATTCCGATGATTGCCATTCCGAAATGGTCATGGTGCTTCTATAGTACCTACCCAGCTCCTCCTCAGCCCCAGGAGGGGACTGGATCCACTCCCCTGACCGCCTGACCGAATGGCAAATGAAACGCACGCAAATACTATAAATAAATGTTTAAATAAATAAGTAAATAAATATGTGTGAGCTGGGGGGAGGCCCAAAAAGTCCAAATGTAATAATTAAATTGCATTTTGCGTCTGCGGACAAACAAAATGGCGGCCAGAGGGTCCTGGGCGGATGGTATGGAATGGCAGGGTATCCTGGAAAACTACTGCACTGCTATACTTCCTAGAGGATAGTTCTCTCTTGTTCCTGACTATCTCTAATGGATCTTTGTGATATAAGGCCTAAATCCTATAGAACCCAGATCTCTAAAGAACCTCCCCCCCTGGTATATGGATAATATTTTTTCCTATCCAGACTCCTGATTCTGGACCAAAACCCATCTCGTAACTCACAACCCACCAACCACTGTGCCGCGACTCGATGATTGTGTGCATCAATTGTCGGCACCGCGTATGGGAAGGCTTGAATTTATTTATCATTCAATTAAATATTTAAAACACCAAAAAATGCTTTCGCCGCCATCCACTTGTTTAATTCCCGCCCTCTCCCCCTGTAACCGCCCCCGTCCACTCACCTTTAATATTGAAATCATAAATAAATGAGAAAATTCAAGGGGTTGGGGTGAGGGGCGGGGCTTGGTTGGTTGGTCGGCCTGCTTATGTTCGGTGGCGTATGCGTAATGTGTGCGAGTGGGCCAGTGGACTATGGGCTTAATGGTCATTTTTTGTGGCATTAAATATAACTAGGGTATAGGAGGTTTTGGAAAGCGGCTATAGGAAACTATTATACAAATAATAAAAAAATAATAATAATATATTTAATATTACTGGCATTATCAAAGCTAGACTTATCAAATATTATTAACAACACGCGATTCTGTTTGTAATCAAATTAATCTAAACTTTGAAACTAAACTGCGGGAAAATGCAGAATGAGACTAAATGATATGGTTTCAGTATTGTACAAGCTACAACATATATTTGGAATAATATCCAAAAAATGCGAAACTTTATTTAAAAACATGGTCCAAAAATCTATCATATTTTGCTAAAAAATCCAGCTAGACTTTCATTAAATGAAAACATTTTAAAATAGAAACTCACAATATGAACAAATAATGCAAGACAGAAAAATTACTTCCATTATGGCTTCCATTAAAAAATATATAATTAAGGTAAGGGCACTTCAAAAGTATTTCAACCTAAGCCCAAGATCTCTCAATTGCAACAGCTGGGATTTTGGGATTAAAGCATCATAGTTTGATGTTTTCTTAAGTTAAAAAAGACAAGAAAAAAGTTCTACAGTTAGAATTTAAAATAAAATCTATTTATTTGTGTTTTATTTTATTTTCAATGTGCATATAGTGGTGGAAAAAATAATTGAAAAAAGATTTTTGTGTCCGTTGTACATACTTAATAGTTGGGTTAAATGTGCAGAGAAGAATCTTGTTTCTATTATTTTTTCCACCACTGTACATATATTTCAGAATACATACAGAAAGTTTCTTAAATTAGTCTTAAATTTCAAAACGATCTTCTTAAGTATATATGTATAATATTTCAGAAGAGAACTAAATCTGTTTGGTTTTTTTTATTTTTGATGATTTATTTCCAAGATATAGTGGTCACTTCAAAACGTCTTTTTTCCAAAGAGCTCTTTGAAATTCGGCTATAACTCTTTTACAAATAAATACTGTTACTAGATCCTAGTCTTAAAATAGAGTTAAAAGATTCTATAATAGGTTTATACATACAGTTTCTTCAAAAAACTCTGTAGAAAATTCAAAAGAGTTTTTTTTCAGCCCTCTAACTACCTATAACTATAACCTTGATGCATTCACAATAGTTTCAAAACTAATTTGCCACTTGAAGTGGCCATATGCCCCACCGTGCAGTGGGTGGCGAGTGTGTGGCGGCGAGTGTGATGCTGGCGATTTGCATTCGCTGTAAATTTTATTGTTATGTGTATGTATTTATTTTGGCGTATATTTTCTTTTTTTTTTCCGCCGCTGCAATGTTTGTGGAATTAATTGACATTTTATTTGTTAATTAATTGTTATGGCCGTGTGTTGTTGCCCGGTTGGTTGCCCGGTTGGTTGGGAGAGTTGCAAACTGACCAAATGCCCAAATGGCCGAATGAGACCAAAAAGGGCCAAATGGCCAAATGGCTTTTCATTATTGTTATTACAAATGCTGCGGTCATTATTATTTGCTTGTTAGCCGCCCTCGCGTTGCATCCAATGCATTTGTAATTTAGTTTGTAGTTTTAATTGCAAATACGGTTAATTTCTAATAATTTATTTATGCATTTATCCGGTGGTATTCGGTGGTAGTAGCTCCTCCTTCTTGGACTATGTTAGCAGGATGCCTGGGTCTTCCTAGAAATAACCATCAATTTTTACAACATTTTGAGATGCCTGGTGCTCCCCCCCAGAGCCACATTCCAAATACTGGCAATAAGAAAAAAAAAAAAAAGTCATAACAAAATTTTACGACAACTTTTGGTGGGGTGGTGGGCGGTAGGTGGGGTTGGTGGGTTGGATGTAGGGGGTGTTCTGGGTGGCACTGGACTGATGCAAAATGCAAAACAAAAGGAAAATTACAAAATGTGGAGACCCAAAAGGAAAAAGACGTATTCAAATGGCCGCCATCCCGCTGCTTCCTGTGGAGGATACGATTTCCGAGGGGCAGGGGGGGGAGGGGGGCGACTGCGAGGATAATGAGGAGTATGGGGCATATAATAATCATCTATATTCATGGATTAGGATTCAATTTTTATGCCACACGCGAGGCAAGGGCCAGGGCCGGAAAGGTGAGCACTGGAAACCCAACAACAACAATGAGGGTTAAATTGAAAATAAAGCGTTAAAGATACCAAAGACAGAGACAACACTAGAGAAAGAGACAAAGACAGAGATAGAGAAAAAAAAAATTATTCAAAAATTTATGCAAGAAAATATTACCAAAGAGCTAATAATTTTCTCCATCCATTCGGGCTATACTTTCTATACTCCTGTGCCCCCCCTCCTGGTCCCTGGGCTTTTCCACCAAAAAAAAAAAAAGGTGGCAAGAACGCCGCATGGGGGGCCTGGGTGGGTGGTGGGTGATGGGTGGGTGGGTGTATATCGCTGTCTCTATCGCTCCCTTTCGTTTTGGCTCCGGCTTGTATTAATGAATAATATCGCGGCTAAGGCAGAGAGCGCGTTGTGCGGAGTTTTGTGGCACGCCACAGGGGTTAATAAGTAATCTGCATTTTTTGACATTTATTTATGTCTTCAAATATGTGCGAGGCAGAGGCAGGAGGCAAGAGGCCTTCCACCTCCCCCTCACCCGCAACAAGCTGATTTTTTATGGCACCGCCGAAGCGAACAGAGAAATCTAGCAGCTGTTCAAAGTGTCATTAGAACGAAATATGCCCGCAATGAAGAATATTGGGCTATGGCCGCCTGCCCCTCTAAGAGAATCAAGAATCTCTGATATATATATATATCCTCTTATTCATATTTGGATCTCTATTGTTTCCATTTGATTAGCAAAAGGGGATAACTCTATCGGAGGGTTTTTGGGGGTAGACTCTGATGGGAAATGCTTCTAGGGGGTGCAGGATGGGTTGGTACTATAGGTACTATAGGTTGGTAGCTTCACTTGAACCTATGGTGTCTACCTATATGGGGTTAAACCTTTAAGAAACCCCCCTTAAGACTAGCTCTATCTACCTAATCCACCAAACCGATATTGGATCTCTAACCCACTTGGATCTCTATTGTTTCTATTGAGGGATTATGAAAGGGGACTACTAGGCAGGAGGACTTCTTAGTGAGGGCTTTGGGGGTAGATTCTGCTGGGAAATGCTTCTACAGAGGGCGAGATGGAGTACTATAGATCCGTAACTATATCTAACTAGTCTACCAAATAGATATTATCCCACTTATGTAGGAGGGGACTACTAGGCAGGACTACTAACTGAGGGTTTTGGAGGTAGACTCTGCTGGAAAGGAAGGATAGGATGCTTCTAGGTAGGGCAAGGTAGAGAACTAGAGGTTGGTAGTCCACCAAACCAAAACTATCCCACTAGGATCTCTATAGTTTCCATTTAGGGATTAGGAAAGGGGACCACTTTTCAAGACTACTACTATCTGAGGGTTTTGGAGACACTGACATTACCAAGAAATGCTTCTAGGGAGTGGAAGATGGAGTACTACAGGTAGGTAGCTTTATCTAACAAGCCCACTATTTGAATCCCTATTGCTCCCATTAAAGGATTAGCTAAGAGGACTACTAGGATATATAGAGTTGACTATCTGAGAGTTTAAGAGGAGGATACTCCTTCAAAGGGTACTACAAAGTACAAAATAGAGGCTACCATAGGCTTGAACCTACGGAGACTTCTACGAGTTCTGATATAGAGTTCATAGGATAAACCTTTAAAAATCGCAACTAGATAACTAAAAATATCAACACCGACTAGTCTAGTTTAGTAACTCTCTCTAAT